GTGCAAATTGATATAATCTTATCTCCGATATCGTAATTGTAACCGAGTATAAATTCGATTGTCTTTATTGGTAAATAACAGCGAGATGGTAAATTATAAACCATTTCAGTAAATGAATTATCCAAAATTAAAACAGAATAAAAACTTAATTTTCGAGGTCATCATGGCAGACGTAGAAATAAGGACATTAATGTAGCATGTCACGTTATGAATGTTCAGGAAACAATAAAAATGACTTATAAATATTCAGCCATCCTAATTTCAAGTCTTTTAATTGAATATTTACGATAAACGAAAATACAATTACCCTGTCGTGATGAAGACGTACGAAAATCAAACATGGCGCGTTTCGCCCGATCTCAGCACAACTTATTGCTATTTTAACATCAAGAATACATTGCCTTCATATACATGTATTGGCGAAAGTTGACGATCTTCATTGTCGAAGGTTGTTTCATTTGTCATTTTGCGTTCAGTGTGACGACAGAAAAACGATCTAAAGGATCGTGAAATCTGACAGCAATATTTCAGTAAGTGCTAAGGTCATCGGATGTGATGTCACGGACAGGGGTAGTCTGCTGATAATCAATCGTTACAAAACAATAACAGACGAGTAAATTTTGAAATTGTTCGCCAGTCACATCCGGAATAAACACACATCACTTCATAGTTTCAGTAATCACCACTAATATGAAATAACAATGCGACTTTGACGATATTATTGGCGTGTTATTTAATTCGTTTGACCTTGTGTGCTCCCATGACCTGGAAACGGTAGATGATGAATTAACACGCCACATTCGCAGTTTCTCGGTATCTTTTATTTGAACTATTGTTGATATATTAGGATCACCTTTCGATGTTACGTTGAACAAAAAGGAATAACATTCATGTATTTGAGATGTAAATGAGATCAAAATGTCGGAATGTCGGAATGTACAGAAAAATGATATCACAATTTGGCGTGCCTAGTGGAGTCATTTACTGACAATTGACTTCAACACTATTCCATAAAACTGACAAAACTAAAGCCACCCTGACACTTGCACGATTTTTGTTCCCGCAATGGCTCGAACTTCGGCGTGCGATTGATTAAAGTCTTCGGAAACGAGCGTGAGTAGAGTGTGAAGGGTGCGGGGATGCGTGCCATGTCGTAGAGAAAATTTAAAAATGTTCAAATATTTGGCGTGCCACTTGCGTGAACCATGCGCGAACACTGTACGAACTCGGCGCGAACACTGCCGACGGTGCGTGTCAATGCGTGCCATGGGAATCCACTACACGCTCTGACACGCCATGCCACGCATGGGTCACGAACTGTCCACGTTGTGGGCGCGCCTATTCGCGCCGCGTTCACGCATTCGAGCCTGTCGCGGAGTGATCGTGCGGTCGTTGGAATCGTAATCATGGAACGCCCAGCTCACGCATATGTCGCGCAAGTCACGAACCATTCGCGCAATGCACGAACTGCTCACGAAGTGTTTACGCATTGTTCGCGCGTAGTTCCCGACCAATGAGCGACGACGGCGCTCGCGTCAGTGCGTATGTAAGTGGGTCCTGGTCATTCTGCAACTTGCTAGCAAACGGACAACATGCCTTACAAGGAGAAAGTCCGTATAAGAAGGGGAAGACCAATGAAGAGACCAGGCCAGAGACAGAGAAAGAGACAGAGATTGCAGACAGGGAGAGGGATCTTTCTCCTCCTTCCTCCTGCTCAAGTGTGGATATTGTTCCACAGACACAACTTGAAGTTTTTACAGAGACTTAAATAGAACTGTCAAGTGAAGAAGAGCCCACAGTAAAACAGAAGAAGAGAATCAGAGTGTCCAAGGAAGAAATTCCTGAGTATAAGTGGACAGATGAGGGTACCATGAAAATAGCCGAAAATGTAAAAGACTACCAACAGTTGTATGACAAGAGACAGAAGGACTGGCTCAATGGGGCACCACCCCCTACCCCAACATCAACATACTAGAACTTATACCAAGCATCTGCAACAGCTGTGAGTACAATGCTGTGGAAGCCCTTGTGATTATAATAGAGGGAGCCTGCTTTGCGTGGCTTCTTCATAGCAACGTGCTTGCCGTCCAGGGCCCCCAGGCAGTTGTGGTAGTTCCATTTGGAGCTGAACATCTCAGCAACCTCCTTCCACGTTTCTTGATTTTGGGGCAGCTGAGCACTTCGTCCTTGTACAGGGCGCAAACAGGGCGCAAACGCGGCACGCCTTGCCACGACGCATTGCGCGGCATTGTAGGGACAAAAATCGTGCAAGTGTCAGGGTGGCTTAAGGCTACAGCAGGCATCAAATAGTCTACCCTAATGGGTCAATCAAAGAATATTGATGAGACGGTTGCATTCCGTTCATGGAGAGGCTGGCCAATTATATGCCACAACTAAACATTTGATGAAGGAATTCCAGCATGGAAGGTGGTCTGCACTCTTGTCGATCCATCACTGCGCCACAAAGTAAAACATTGTTCCCGCCAACAATCTCGTACTGAAAATAGTTGCCATTTCAATCCATGATGTAAAGGAAACTTATGGGACAATAGAAACAATGCTTCATCACAATTCCCATATGGCAACGTTTTGTGCCAGTAACCACAGCTTTTCAACTGTGCGGTTGTATATTCTTCAATTTGGGATGGACATCATATGTCTCCTTCACGCAAGGTTGCAAAGCTTGGTCCAGCCTCATGTTTCATATACGGAAAGAATACTTCTTTGTTGTTTAAGACTATACAACTGCAGTGAATCTTTAGTTAGTTAAATGAGTCTATAGTCATATGGCATACATGAACTCACAAGTCATTGCTTTCTAAGCCTGACACCTTGATGTGCGTGGTACCATAGCCACGATAACTGTAATTCCATGTTGTATAATTACACATTAAGTACTGTTGTGTTACGACTGGTTTTCAGCCTTTTCTGACAACGTTTGATAAATTCAATGAATTTGGATCAAATTCAACTTATCTAAATTTCGGTTTTGGACAATCACACACCGACCTTGTCAATAGAAGGTGAAACGCATATAACCTGTCATCAATTTGTACTGTGTATCCTCTAATAGTAGGCATTGGGGTGTTGGTACATCCATGTAGTCATTAAGTGCTTTCCCTTCTGTTTGGCACATGGGCTCCAAGGGTTATCTTATCTTGTGTAACTGGCCAAATGCATTGGAGTTTACACCAAGGAAGGATCTTATGGTCTCAAATGATTACCAATACACGATGCATTATACCTCACTCTATTTTGGTGTCAATATATTTATTGAATTTGAGAGAGGACAAACGGCCTATCTCCAAATATTGAACTATCATAGTTCTTCTCTAATAAATTGATATTGAATTTCCACACTGTTGCATAATGTATAAATACAAACAACACCAGATGATAGAATATTTCTTTTCTGTCCAGTGTCCCAAGCCTTGAAGAATTGATCTTTTCTGTGAGCAGGGTCATGACGTGTATCTAGTTTCAGAGTTGGACTGAGTGTAATATCAATGAAACCATGTGTAATGGTGGTCTGATACTGAGTGACGAAATGATGTCGGTATATAAACTTTGAGTTATTGGAACATCTTCTCTTCTATGTGGCACACGGGTATCAATGGTGACACTTATTCTTGTGGCCGTGTGCTAATAGAACCTAATAATTCATATCAAATAAACCAATAACGCCACTAGATAAGACTGATTTGAAACGACCTTATACACATACACATTGGAGTTCACAATGAGTAATGATCTTACAGTCTAAATTGATTACCAATACACAATACATCGTATCTCTCTGCGCGTTGGTGTCAATGTGTTTGTTGAGTTTTGGAGAAGACGGAAATCTACATATATCGACATATCAGAGTGCGATACATCCTTCTCTAATGAGAATAAAATAATAGAATAATTCACCTACGACTTAATTTTAAATTTGTTTTGTAATTAATTAACATAATCACCACCTGGTGACAGAAGAAAGTATATCTATTTCCTGGTCTCAAGCCTTTTATATTAGATTTTCTCTCAAAGCAGTATCAAAAGAACATCCAGATATGCTGTTGGACAGAGTGTCATCTGAATGAAAGCGATGTTTAATGTCCCTGACCCTAACCCTAACCTTAACCCTTATTGTAGCCTGAAACTGAAAGTTGAAATGCTTGGTTATTATGCATTGGCTATCAATGAACCATACATCTTGTTTTTGTTCAAGAAAAACTCACCTGTGAGTGTACAACATAGAAACAAATGACAAACTAGAATACGTGAAGTGTCCAATTTAATACTAATGGCTAACAACATTTGTTCAAAATTTCAATGGCAATCTCTGAACAGTGTCATGCCCTTGATAAGAGATGATAAAATCCATTTTCTCTTTCAGTAAGAATAACATTTCAAATAGTACTGAAAGTGATTTTATCCTCTTTTTTTCCATTACACAATATGTAGTGTGCTATCCTAATAACATGACCAATGTATAATGTCACGGACATGCTAGTTGTTACTACACACAAGGTATGAAGATGCATTGCAAATTAGGTCATTACTCTGTTGCATTATGATCCAGAAACAGTGCGATGATCCACCAGAATACACGTCAATGATAATTCTGTATGGTTAGTGTAGATTGTTGGAATGATCTGGTTTTCATAGCAACTGAGTCACCCGAATCGGTTCGAATTGGTTCCAATAACAATTTACCGCTTTGATGCTGACAGTGAGCATGTCATGCTCCAGTGTACAATACATATTTTATTATCCTAATAACAATCCAGGAAAGTGCCAATTGTGAGGACATGTAAGGTGTGAAGATGTTTATAAAAATGCGTTGTTGTGTGAGATCAACGTCCAATGTACATACATACTGTGGTGAATGTTCTCAATTGTTTTATTTCTGTTTTTCCAAAGGACCCTAGAGCACAGGGACAAATCATTTAGCATAAGAGGTATAGATCGTTGAAGATTCACACTTGCAGAATAGCACAAGGACCTTTCATTTATCATGTTAGTTTGATGAGGAATACCCCAGTCGCACACAGCCAAACAGCCATGAATATAACCATACACAGACAGTCAGTTGATATCAAATATCCACCAGAGTCAGAACTTCCCCAGCCTTCCTTCACTCGACCCCTGAGGTTCCCATCGCCTGCCAAACCATGGTTTTTAGATTCCTGCTGAGTCTCGTCCATAACCTTGCGTTTACGTCCATGAAGTGATAACGACCAACAACGTGGTATCACAAACAGTGGTGAGGGTGTATTCTTGTTGTTAATCTTCCTGGTATCTATCATGACGATTAAGATGGTGGTGGCAACCGACAGAACGCTGATGCCGAACAGACATGTAAGATACAGGGTGACCAGCGGGATATTGTCGGACGAGTTTGGAAGTAGTCCACTCACGATGCTCATGAATACAGCTAGAGAGAGAAGGCATGTGATGCCATACGAAACCTTCTCGCCACAGTCACACGGCAGTGCGAACACAAATATGTTGAGAAAGGAAAGCACCACTACAGGTAGAATGACATTGAGGACAAAGAACGCCGGACGCCTCTCCAGATCAATCTGAATGTAAAGGAAAGATAAGCTTAAATCTTCTCCGATGCGCCTTTCGCGAGTGAAAGCTTTGGAACTTGGAAGAATCCATTCTCCGTTAGTTGTGAAGAATTGGCTGTTTGCACTCTTCAAAGCTGAGACCATCTTTACCTCACTTGAATAATAGCTGATGGGGATAAATCGGAACTCGCATGTCTGAACATCAAATGGGAATAAGGTCAGGTCTAACTTACAGTCAGTAAGAAAGTTTGCCCCAGGTGTCCAAGTGACTGTGCCATCGCTGTAAACTGTGATACCGGATGTGTCGTCTTTAAAGACGTCCCGATCCTCCAGAGACACTGGAACCATGAGTTTGGGTCTCCAAATGTCAGTCAGTGGAGGATGAATAGACTTAATGCCGTTATAATTCTCAGGTTTCCAGATAAGGAACTCGTCCATCCATGTCAGATTCATCCAGACGTTGCTGTGGAGGGTCTGTCGGACCTGATTAACTTCAGTTATGGCAACCAGGTTGAATGTATTGTGAACGTCAACATGGTGACTCTGGTTGTTCACGGGTCTGTGTTTAGTGCTGTAGTTCCGAAAGAGGTCGCTGTACAGCCTTTTCATGTCTTCAATATTTTCTGCAGCAGATCTACATACCACCAACACCAACACCAGCACAGACGGGAGCTGCATCTTCCTCGGTCACCAGCTTTGTACAAAATAAGGTCCACATATCATAATTTATCTCCTGCGCTAATGGAACTTCATTATCCACGGATAATTGAATAAAAGGTAATGTGTACACACCGATATTAATTGTGATATCGAATAAAGGCATCCCAGCCCGAATTGATTATTGATATATATAATACGTCTATTTACATGACGTATGCTTCATGTTGTATGGGACAACATTGTTCTTTCGGCGGTATTGTTTTTGCATATCTTGGACAAAGCAAGCTGTCAGCTCTAAATGATAACAGATTGTTTCTGTATTGTGGGTATCAATCACACATTGACTGCGTTATTACTTGAACAATAATCAGAGAAGTAAGGAAGTTCTTACTTTACTTAGAGATTAATGAGAGCAGGGGTCACCATGAGGTGTACTGAGAAGTACAGCACCAATCATCTGATGATCTGGGCAGTAGACTGGAGTCTGCAATGCTACAGCACTGGTATGATCAGTAAACAACACGTCCAGTGACAGTGAGTTGGAGAGTTGGAGAGTGAATGAGTTGAGTCATTTTCCGCACATTAAAGAAATCTTCAAGTTACAGCTTTTCAATCAGATCACAGGTGAAATCCCTAGTTACTAGGACATGCTCACATCCATGCTGCTTGGAGAGATCCTGAAGTTCCTGCATAAAATGAGTAAGTGAATGTGACAACCGTGTCCATGACACTTTTGGAAAAAAACATACACACAAGCAATGCAGAACTTGCCAACAAGAAAGGAAATGTATTCAATACTGCGAGATGATATTACATCACATAGCTGGACACTGTTCTTGAAACTTGTTGAAACATACTCAGCAATACCATGTGTAGTGTCTCTTAGATACACTTGGTATTCTGGCAGGTCTCTTTCACTGTAATCATTGATGTGTGTTTCTGTGAAACACAAACCATCAAGCACACCAACAAACTTACACTGCGAGGAAGCAGGCTGGTTCGGGTGTCCCTGTTCATGTTACCGGCGTACACTGCGAGGAAGCAGGCTGGTTCGGGTGTCCCTGTTCATGTTACCGGCGTACACTGCGAGGAAGCAGGCTGGTTCGGGTGTTCCTGTTCATGTTACCGGCGTACACTGCGAGGAAGCAGGCTGGTTCGGGTGTTCCTGTTCATGTTACCACTACCCACTGTGAGGAAGCAGGCTGGTTCGGGTGTTCCTGTTCATGTTACCACTACCCACTGTGAGGAAGCAGGCTGGTTCGGGTGTTCCTGTTCATGTTACCGGCGTACACTGCGAGGAAGCAGGCTGGTTCGGGTGTTCCTGTTCATGTTACCGGCGTACACTGCGAGGAAGCAGGCTGGTTCGGGTGTTCCTGTTCATGTTACCGGCGTACACTGCGAGGAAGCAGGCTGGTTCGGGTGTTCCTGTTCATGTTACCGGCGTACAATGCGAGGAAGCAGGCTGGTTCGGGTGTCCCTGTTCATGTAACCGGCGTACACTGCGAGGAAGCAGGCTGGTTCGGGTGTTCCTGTTCATGTTACTGGCATGCACTGAGAGGAAGCAGGCTGGTTCGGGTGTCCCTGTTCTTGTTACCGGCGTACACTGCGAGGAAGCAGGCTGGTTCGGGTGTTCCTGTTCATGTTACCGGCGTACACTGCGAGGAAGCAGGCTGGTTCGGGTGTTCCTGTTCATGTTACCGGCGTACACTGCGAGGAAGCAGGCTGGTTCGGGTGTTCCTGTTCATGTTACTGGCATGCAGGCTGGTTAGGGCATCACGATTCATGTTACTGGTACCCTGGTTCAGGTGCCACTGTTCATGTTACCGTTATGCACTGCGAGGATGTAGACTGGTTCAGGGTGTCCCTGTTCATGTTACAACTATACACTGCGAGGAGGTAGGCTGGTTCGGGTGCCCCTGTTCATGTTACTGGAACCCACTGTGAGGAAGTAGGCTGGTTCGATTGCCACTGTTCATGTTACCACCATGCACTGCGATGAAGTAGGCTGGTTCGGGTGCCACTTGTAAATTGTGTTTTCACAATAAATCAATATATATCTTGACCAAGTTCCTTTGTCAAGTGGTATACATCTCAATAAGGGTAATTATGGTAACGGTTCTCAGACAACCCTGAGTAGATTTTTTTTTAGAAATGTGAACGGTTTCCGAGTTATGCTCTTGCTAAGGAAACATTCGTAAAATCTCAAAACGATGAAAAGGAACAAGTTTACCACAAGACCTACTCATATGCCAAGTTTAGAAGAAATATTGTATTGTTGTCACGATTTGGCCAAGTTTGGTGATTTTCAAAGTCAAAGTAGTTGCCATGGAATACTTTTTCGAAAAATACCAAAGTATCTAAAGGCACCAGTTTTCCACTAGACCTATTTATGTGCCAAGTTTGAAGACATATTGTACTGTTTTCAAGATCTGCTCAGGAAACAGGGACTACTGCCATTTTCAGTCTAAGTCAAAGTCGTTGGAAACTCGAAAAAATATTTTTTTTAAAAATCATAAACTATCACAAGGCACCAGTTCACAGCTGGACCTATCTATGTGCCACGTTTGGTTAAGATATCTCTAATGGTTTTTGTGTTCTGCTTCGGAAACGAAATGTGATGGACGGAAATACAGACAAAGTGGTCAGAATATCCAATCAAACTATTCAATAAATTTGGATCACTTGAAGACAAGGATGTGGTGTCTGGAAACATCAATCCTAGGGCACACAGCTTATCGCCCTCAAAGAAAGTGTGGGATCGGTCCCCAATAAATCCCCAGACAAGGCAGTTTATTCCAAGAACATTATTCAGTGGACTAAGAACTAATTTTAATGAATTACAGCTATTAGTCCAGGATTTGAAGCCATCGGCATTCTGCTATCTGAATGATGAAACCTGTCTGAAGCAGACAGATAATTTTAACTTACGTCAGTTCATTAATTGCATACAATACATACTCCTCCGGGTGATAGGGCCACACGAGAACTCCAATCATTGTGAGGCAGGATGTCATTCACAGCCCTGTTATTATTAAAACTAACCTTCAAGCTGTTGCTTTCCGACTTTGCTTTTACATTGAGCTCTCTATATATTCCGCCTTCCTCAACTCTTCATCAGTCTGATCTTCTATGATCAACTCCCAAAGCCTTGTATAATTATGGGTGATTTGAATTGTCACAGCCTACTCTGGGGTGGTACACACACTAATATTAAAGGTGAAATAATAGAAGATTTCATATCAAATAATGACCTATGTATCTTTAATGATCACTCGAACACTTTTTTGCATCATGCCGCTGGCACTTACTCTTCTTTAGATTTGTCTCTAACTGATTCCATCCTACGAATTCGAATGGTCACTCCACAATTACTTTTGTGGAAGTGACCATTTTCCAGCTATCCTTTCATCAGTTGATCAATCTGACACCTTCAACGAGATGGAATTTTACAAAAGCTAAGTGGTCTTTGTTTCAGACTTATGCACAAATAAACTCAGACCTGAGTGTTTCAGTGATGTTGATGATCCTGTTCAGGCTGTTTCTGTTACCTAAGTCCCCTACAAATCCACGTATACTGTTTAATACCGATGTTAACAAGCTAAGAGAGCTAGGACAAAGGCAGGAAATATGTCCGCCATCATCCAACCGTCCATGATTTAAATAAATTTTAAATATTAAATGCAAATGCTCGTCGCACGTTTAAATAAACTAAACGCCACTCTTGACAGGAACTATGTTTCTAAAATAAATTCCAAAACCCCTAGTTTTAGGGTTTGGAATATGGTGTAAAGGATAAAGGGTAAAGGATCCAAATCTAGTGTTCACCATCTTAAGGAGGGTGGCACACTATTAACCGATGAAAGTGATATAGCAAACAGACTAGGAGGAACTTTAGCTAAACATTCTTCCTCATTAAATAATACACCAAATATCAGAAATGTAAAGAATAACAAGAAAATAAAATAAAATAAAATTGATTTTAATTCTTATAATGGTGAGGATTATAATGATTTCCATTCATGAGCTGCATAGGGCCTTAGGGTAAGTTCATGATACTACTATAGGTGCTAATCGTATTCATTATCAGTTACTTAAACATTTACCTGAATCCTGTAAAGACACATTTTGTTAACTATATTTGATAATATCTGGACACATTGCCTTATTTAGCAGGTTGATGGCAAACAGTATCCTCTATCAAACTTTTAGGAAACATATGGTTTCAGATACTTATTACACATATTCGTAAAATAGGAGAGTTCATTTTGTTTAAGGGCACACGTAAATTATCTAAATTTCATTTGTTTGTTTGTTTGTTTGTTGTTTAACGCCAAGACAGCGAACCTGACCACCCGATCCCGTTAGACGCCTCTTACGATAAACATAGTCGCCTTGTACGGCAAGCACTGGTTGAAGCTTAAAACATGTTGAATAGTTTTTTTAGTTCTGGTCCGGAAACGACACCTACCTCCGTTTCAGCTAAGTCTAAAAAAAATTTCTATGGGAACAGGGAAAAATCTAATTTTGAAAACTTCCTAAACAACAAAAGGCACCACTTTAGCCCTGCATTAAAACATGTACTAGGTTTGGATGAAACATCTGTTACGGACAGTAAATTTCAAGTTGTGTTCCGGAAACGACACCTACCCCGATCCTTTTCAGATTAACATGATAATCGAGGAATAAAAATGTCAAAAATCCGTAAATAACAAAAGGCACCACTTCTGTTTGATCTGTTTGATGTAACTGCCAAGTTTTGTTGACACATATTGAACGGTTTTTGAGTTACGCTGAAGATACGGGGTAGAATAGGTCTTCAGCAACCTATGCTTGCCGTAAAAGGCGAATATCAGATATTTGTAAACAACAGTGGAAGGCCATTTCAGAAACCTTTCTATGGGACATAGTTGAACACAATTGTAAGCAAATTGTATGTGCAAATATTTGGTAAAGACTAGTTAGTCTCATTCAAGATATGAGGAAGAAATATTCCCCACCTCGTGATTAAAATGTCAATA